AATTTCTTCCTCGACATCCTTTCACCAATGCAGGCCCCTGTGGTCCTGAAAAAGCCCAAGATTAAGTTCCTAATCTCCAAGAAGGAGGCTATGCCCTTATCTGTTCCAAAATCCTTGGCGCCTTTATCTGATGGCAAGGCCTTTCACTCTGGGAAGATTTGGGGCTTAACTGAAGGCTGGTGTGAACTGATTCCTCAAGGGTCTTGGATTCCTTTTCTTTGGAGTTTTTCCTCTGAGCTCTAGCTCCCTGATCAGAACAAAAGCAGGAAAACTGGCAGAGGGAATCATAGCAGAGAAAAGAAATATATGATGCTAACTAGAGGAAGAAATAAGGTCACATGAAGGATTTGTCATATAGTATATATGTATGTGTTTATATATATATGTGTGTATATGTAAATGTGTGTATATATAATGTGTATTTGTATGTATGTATACATATGATTGAAAAATTATATATGAAAATAAACATGCATGTGTATATATTATCTATATATGTGTATATGTATATATAATATATATATACATAACATATATGTATAATGTGTATATGTGTGTATATATATATAGCATAGCACTGGAGCCAGTGGAGAGTGAAAAATTCAAGACACTGGAAAGAAGCTATAATTTAAGGAGCAAAGTCTTGGAGAAAATAATGGGAATAAGGGCATAGTTAACTTTGGAGAAAACATTTCTTCCTTTGAAAAAGGGCAAGATGAAAAGTTGTGTAGAGACAGATTTTTAGAGAGGAGAGAGAATCCATGCTTCATGGCCTTAGTCTTCTCCAGAAAGAGGCCAAGTCAATGGCTAGGGAGAGGGGACAGGTAGAAGAAGTAGAAAAATGTATGTAACATGGACCACTCTGATCCCCTGGCCTGGAAGACTAGGTAGGTTAGATTTCACCATTTCACCCCTCCAGGGTTCTCTAGTACCCTTAATGGGATCTGGAGGTATCCAGGCTCTTTATAGTTGGCTCTAACCCCAACTGATGGCATTCCTCCATATGTAGGAGATGGCCTCCTATACCTCAGTTCCATTAACTACTAACTGGCAAATTAGCTTTTACACAGAAATACTTTCTCCAAAACAATATAATCACAAACCTACAAACTTACTTCCCCAACATGTGGAAGGCATAATCTTCCTTCCCCCTTCACATCTCAGTCTCTGGAGAGAGAAAGAGGCTTAGTTCATATTTTAGATCTAATTTTACAGATCATAGTTCCAATTCGAAGTCCAAAAACCCCACCTTGGATTCGAGTCCCAGACACCCTGGCTTCTTAGGGATTCAAAGCTGGCCCATCTTAAGTCATCATGGCTTGAACTCTCAATCCTGTAGAGATCACCTCTAGCATCTGAAACTGAGAAGGATAAACAACATGCCACAGAAACAAATACCCCTAGACCCATTTCTCAAGGGGTAGGGAATGTAAAAGAGAGGGAGCAATGAATAAAAGACTGTTGTCACAATCTGAAAAGCTGTAAATACAGATATTGAAATTGCCTAGGATAAAAGTAGCAAACGGAGTAGTGAGGGAGACTGGTAGCCAAATACTGAAGTGACCTGTAAAGAAGACATTCACTTTATTTATAAACAATTTCTCCGACATCTGAGATTATAGCATTTTATATTCCAATTTATGGACTGGACTTACATTCTAATTTGTATTATTCATCTGTTTTATAGAATGCAACCTCCTTAAGGATAATGATCCTGTTTTAATTTATCTTTAAATCTTCCCCAATGCCTAGACATTGAATTTAATTTAATTAATAAATTGTTGAATGAATGAATGAATGAATAACAGATAGAGTAGTATAGTGAACAGAACACTGAAGACTAAAAGTTAACAAAGAATTGCCTTTCAATCTTATTTCTCACATTTTCCAGTCACGTGATCATGTTCAAGTACCTGACCTCTCTAAGGCTGTTTCCTCAGCTGTAAAATGGGAATAATGACACCTGTAGTACCTACTTCACAGGGTTGTTTTAAGAGTCAAATAAGACTTAACCCCAATTGCCTAAAAAAAAAAAAAAGTCAAATAAGAATCATTTTGTAAACTTTAAAGCACTAAATATATTTCAGATATTATTAGTGTAATTTAACCACTCAAAAGAAATGAAGCACATGTTCTCTCTCTCCCATTCACCTCTCCTTAGCACTTTTCTTAATGAATTAATATTTACTAAGATAACTTATTTTTGTTTCCTCTCAGAAAAAGGATTTCAAATTAAAACTGGTTAAAACCAATCTGTAATGTTTGATACTAAAAGCTGCTAATAAATCAAAAGTAATCAGGATGAAGATTCTCTTAGTTGCCATTTAATATAAAGTTATCCCTTCCACATCCTGGGGGTTAGGGGCATAGCACCCCTGCTATCTGGAAAATCCACGTAAAATTCTTCGGCCCTCCCTTTATACCAGAGAAGAAGTCTGAAGTATTATGGTATTAAAAGATAAAATATGTTGATACTATACAATACTATACATATATTTTATGCATTTCTGAGTTTCTAAACTTGTTCTGTATTGTCTGCTGGCCTTTGTGTGTCATCTGTGGCTTCTGCAAAACTGCCGACCTGTCATATATCAAGATCACAATGTGGGAAAGCCACAATGTGGAAGGGATTAACTGTATTATCTAGCAAACTAAGAAGGCAAGAGATATGAAAAGTTTGAGAGACATAATTTCTGGATAATTAATCATTTTATCACGCTACTAGATAATAGAAAGGGTCAGTGTCACTCTTGAATGCTAAAGACACCTCATGGAATCCATTCAATGCCTATATATCCTTTGAAAAGTGGGTGCTCCAGAGGGTGGTAGTCAACTCTGATTGGTTAACAATTAATGAGAAGAATGAATATTACAATAAGAGGTGGGCCTATTCTAATGAGGGGCTAGGAGATATGACTTTGATTATGTCATTTACATCTAGATCACCCCCAGCCTTGGGCAATCTAAATAAAGGATCTACCTCCACTCAAGACTGAGCTGAACAGAATTCACCTTACATTAAATTCTTTATAAGTTTCTCCAGTTGAGTGGGGAAACAACTCCAAGATTTCATCTCATCATCAGCTCTGCCCTTCAGAGAACTAAGCTTGACCAAATCTCCAAATGAGGAAGGGAAAAAATTCTGGATCTCCCCAATACTAACAATTGGTTCTTTAATAATCATTTTTCTCAAGGGGATTGGAGAAGTTAAGAAATTCAAGATGTATTTTGGTTCTGATGCTTAAAACTTTTCTTTCTTTTTTTTAACTACTAGACTTCCTTTAGTTTTCAACAAATGAAAACTACAATTATAGAATTGGAGAGGCAAGTCCTACATAAGGAAATAGAAAGAAACAAAAATAGCTAAGTTGTATATTTTATAGTGAATGAGACATTACTGTCTACAAATCTGGATATAATTGCAGGGTGGAAATAGTCTTAGACCTCAAGTACACAGAACCATGAGATCGTAAAGCATGAATTTCTTCAGGTATCATCTGGGCCTAGTTGTCCAACTAATATGTTATTTTATGTTGACATTTGGCCCTGTCATTAAGGAAATGCTTCCATATAATTTATAGAATGCCTTGCAGGTGAATTAAGATCATTGCACATGAAAAAAGTTTTAATAATAGGCTTACTACAAGACTCTAGAGTTCTCAGCTTCACACATATACAAAAGACATATTATAATTCCTACCATGAGAATATGAATTTAGATCTGATACAGTGAAAATATAATCAAAATACTGAATTATTAGCTTATATATAGTCTTAGAAGTTACTACAAACAATATCATAGCTTTATGTACCAATATACTTGAATGTAACTCAAATGGAAGGTTTTTCTGAAATTCCCTAATACAGATAATATTTTAAATGTTAAAACACTTTAAAAGTTTAGAAATATCACATTTAAACTAAGTACCAGGAAGAAAGGTAGGTCAGGATATAGGCAAAAGATGGTAGAGACTTTCTAGTCATTTCACACCTCACATGTCCTTGAAGGTGATAAAAAAATTATTGACCAGTGACAGATCATGAATGATTTATGTAAAATTGAGTTGGTAGACCTGCTTAGTCCTTAACCTATGAGGACTCATCAAAAATCTAATGCTGAAGGTGACAGAATTCAATACAGAAAATTATTCTTTAGGTTTTTTTTTTAAATCAAATATAAAATGTTAAATTGATTCTAAAGATTTTTAAAATATGATTGCTCATTTCAGTTTGCAAAGTCAGGCTAACATCTCTCACCTCCATGGACTAAAGAGAAAAAGTAAAATTAAATAACAACCAAATATTATCAGACCTGAATAAAGTATAAGACTATATCCTTTTAAATTTTTTTCTTTAACATTTTTATTTAAAGTTTTGAGTTTCAAATTCTATCTCTCCCTCCCCTCCAAACCTCTTTTTCCCCCTCCCTGAGATGGCAAGCAAGCAGATGTAGGTTATACATGTGCCATTATGTAAAACATCTCCATATTAATCATTTTGTACAAGACTTGAATAAAGAAAAAAAATAAGAGAAAGAAAAGTGAAAAATAGCATGCTCCAGTCTGTATTCAATCAGTATCAGTTCTTTTCCTGGAGGTGGACAGTATGCTTCATCATTAGTCCTTTGGAATTGTCTGAGATCATTGTATTCCTGCGAATAGCTGTCATTCACAGTTCTTCATTGAACAATACTGCTGTTACTGTGTACAACATTCTCCTAGTTCTGTTTACTTCACTATGCATCAGTTCATTTAAGTCTTCCAGGTTTTTTTGAAATCATCCTGCTTGTCATTCCTTGTAGCATAATCATATTCCATTACAATTATATACCACAATTTCTTCAGCCATTCCTCAACTGATAGGCATTCCTTCAATTTCCAATTCTTAGCCAGCATAAAAAGAGCTTCTTTAAATATTTTTGTACAAATAGATCCTTTTCCCTTTTTTTGGATGTCTTTGGGATATAGCAGTGGTATTGCTGGATCAAAGGGTATGCACAGTTTTATAGCCCAGTGGCATAGTTCCAAATTGCTCTACAGAATGGTTGGTATATCCTTTTTTAAATGGAAAAAATCCAGAGTTCAACCTGTTAATCATTGAGTCACTTTAGGAAGTTAGAAAGTAAAAGCAATGGTTATTACTTTGAAGTAGATTGTGTAAATAATACTTTAACATCTTCTGCAAGATTCAACTATGGGGTATTCTGTCCAAGGATTTCAGTAGAAGATCTACACAAAGAGCTGAGTGTGGGAATTGACTTATAAATTAAGTGAAGTTTAAAGTTAAATTCATTGTTAAGTGCATAGTTTTCATTTGTTTCTGGTTTCCTTTGATCTAAAAGAATGGGGAAGACTAGACCTCAGGAATTGTTCTAAAGGACTGCCACATGGGAAATCATGTGTTTTGTGGTTAGAAAAAAATTTCCCTAATTCTTTTCTCAAAACTCTTAGGTTAGATGAGGGAAGTTTAGGCTATGAAGTCAATGCAACTACAAGGGAGGGAAAGAAACTACAAGGAAAAGAAAATCCTCTTCAAACTACTCTTGTGATTCAGAGGAAAGGCCACTTGGTTGATATCCCTTCAAATTTTTAGGAATTGGATAGATGTGAATCTGATAAAGGCTCATTTCACCTAGGTAAAATAAAAAAAGAAAAATATGTTACAAATGTTTTTGCCTTTCTTTGTAGTCTCAGTGTTTTAGCATAGTGCCTAACACATACTAAGTGCTTAATTAATGCTTGTTGACTAACTTATTGACACTAGCACAAAACCTAGCAACTAACCCAGAATTTATCTCTTTGAAAAAAACAAACAGGTCATTAAATCATGATGTAAACAGCTACAATCAAGAGATAACTTTATTTTTACTTGAGGTTCATCTCCCTCCTTACCCCCTCCTCGACACACATACACTGGTATACTTTTGAAATATATGACTTTTTCTCCAAGGGAGGAAAGCAGATTTGAGAAAACAAGCTTATTTTCTGTTCAAATGTTCTGTTCTATTGTATGGGGCATTATTACTTTAAAATGGTGGTTGTTCAGTCAGTTTTTATTCATTTCTGACTCTCCATGACTCCATTTGGGAGTTACTCGGCAAAGATACTGAAGTGGTTTGCCATTTCCTTCTAGCTCATTTATAGATGAGGAACCAAGGCAAACAGGGTCACACAGCCAGTAAGTGTCTGAGACCAGATTTGAACTCAGGAAGATGAGTCTTCCTGACTCTAGGTCTGATCTCTATCCACTGTGCCACCTAACTACCTACTTAAATAATTTTTGATAATTTTAATAATTTTAAATAATTTAACCAATTAATAATTAGTTACTTTAATAATTCAAATGATCTGTACTTGCATTCAAAAACCTCAGCAACCCCCTACAGATAAAGATACAAAGAGTCATAGAAGTTAAGTAACTTGCTCAAGGTCACACAGGAGTAGCAGAGCTTCTCTAAACTTCAGACTCTAAAAAAAGTTAGTTCTCGATTCACTGTCCCACCCTGGGGATGTTCCCTCCACTGGCCAATCACAGGTCCACATACCTTGGTAGATGATGTGTCACAAGCGGATGTGACCAAAAACTTTAACCCCCCATTGTCATTATTCTGGTGATAGGTCTCTCTTAACTGAAGTAGGTCTTGAGCCAGTCCATCACAGGTCCTATGCTCCCTATTATCCCAATTTGTGGATCATACCAGAAATGGTGCCCCTCAAGCATAAGAACCAGGAGGGCACCTCCATGGAATAGCATTGGAGTAAGATGTTAGTAGAGGTAAAATCAGTCGCTGAAATATCATCCAAAGCATTTCTGGGGCAACCTGGAAAAGACATGTAAAACAAATAACTTCAGTGACAGTAAGAAAATTTAAGTCAAACAAGTATCTCACAGTATTAGAAAAAGAGAAGGGAGGTAGTGAGATTCCTATTCTAAACAGAAGGGTGAAAAAATTTCCTTCTTTTTATTGGGGAACAAAGACATTAAGTTTTATATTTCTTAGGAGGAATGAAGTGATTGAAGGACTGAGAGAGGACTATTTGAGTTGAACAACCTGCTACAAAAGCAAACTTTTTTTCTTTACATTATGTCAGAAATTAGTCATCCAAGTTTCTTCTACAAAAAACCCAATAACCTTTCAACTGAACCTGTGATCTCATTGAATCTACAATTTCTTCCAAAGATGTAGTTTGTAACCCATCTATCCCATATGACTCATCCATTTTTTTCTCAAAAGTTTGCTATGGTGGCGGGAGATTGCACACAACATGGTAAAGATCTTTCTTTTTCCCAACATCATAAGGATGCCCATCTCTTATCTCTCAGTTGTGCCACACTACCTGTCTGCTTTCTCTTCCTGTCATACAGATCTTTGATGACATCAGAATCCTTGTTAGTTATGTGTTGCAGCTTGCTCACACTTATCACACCTTCTGTATGATGACTCATTTTTAGTTCTTTGGAGTCAGAGACACCAGTAAAGTATTAGCATTTAAAAGATGGGTCTTTACTTTCGTGGGAAAAACTTTGTAATTTCCTGATAGCAATTCAGCCTGTTATCATTCTCCTTTAGCACTCAGGGCCCAACTCATTGTTTCTCTGTATTGTCTGTTCTAGATAGACATAAGGTTTGACAAGTTCCATAAGGTCTTCATCCATATGCAAGTTAAATTTTGTGCAACAGACATTCTTTATCCACTTAATCTTTCTCATGTGGATGGACAGCCCAAGATCCTTTCAGTGATTACAGATCTTTTCCCAGAGGTAGTGAACTTGATACAATCAACAGAAAACAGGAGCATCTGAAAGACTTGACAAACCCTCATTGAATTTCCTCCATCACAATGCAAGTGCCTTTGACGAACATACATCCTCCTGTTTAATGACAAATTTGATGTTTCTTATCAGAGGGTCATTCAACAAGGTTATTTCTGTTATAAAGATTTTACATGGATGAGAGAGTGGAATACATATTGATATTTGTTTTATGGTCTCTGGTACCTTTTGGGAGTAATAATAAGGTCCTTGATTTTTTTCCATGCCTTTGCTATCTTCCCCCCTTCAGATACTTTGTACTTAGGTCCCTCCACATTTTCATAATTATATTACTTTCAGCACTAGCATTTGTTTCTGTTTTGGCCAGAAACCCTGAGGATCTTCCCCTCCCAGATCTATTTTTTTTGTTTGTTTGTTTTAAAGAGGCCAGTCTTTGCCTCATTTCTTGTTAAGCCTTAATCACTGAATAGACCTTGCCTCAGTCAAACTGAGGTATCAGTCAAACTGACCTGTTAGAGACCTCAGCTTGAAAAGGCCAAGGTCCCCCACTGCATCCTGGGCCATCTTCAGTAGTCCTGCTCTGTATCTGGCCACTGGATCCAGATGGCTCTGGAGGAGAAAGTGAGGCTGGCGAGTTTGTATAGCCCTCCCTCACTTAAATCCAATTCACTTGCATGTCATGGTATCACCTCACTGATGTCATGGAACTCTTTGAGAACAAAAAACAAACAGCTGCAGCAATCTCCAGCACAGTTCTCCTCTCTATATATACTTGATCCAATCCATCTACTTTCTTTATCTTTGTTCTCTTTAGTGTCATCTCTATCACCTCCATTAGCACACATCAGACCATAATTTTAGGGTCCAAATGTGGTGGTTCCATCATCCTTCATGAATGAAATGTCTAGACATGATTCCTCCACGACCTCACCACTCACTTTCTTATCAACTCTATGCAATCTGGCTTCTGCCTCAACCAGTCTAGGTAAACTACTTTCTATGAGATTACCATTGACCTCTTAATCACCAAATCTTGTGGCCTTGTTCCATTACTTAACCTTCTTGATATCTCCGCTGCTTTTGACACTGTTAAACACCTCCTCCTCATGGGGTAATTTGTCATCTCTTGGCTTCACAGACATTATACTACCCTGGTTGCCCTCCTCCTTCTAAAACCATTCTTTCTACATCTCTTTTGCTATATTCTCATCCTCTTCTTGACAGTCTGTGTATATCTTCAGTCCTGGCCTCTCTTCTAAATCAGCATTTCCAACTGCCTACAAAGAATCTCTACATGAAACTAATAAAGAGAAAGATGGAAGGTGAATCCAGTTTCAGGTGGCTAGACATAAAAATGCTTAAGTACAATAAGAAAATGAATGCAGTGTAAACTCTGCAATATTCAGTTCCCCAAATGTTAACCTAGTATTGAGCATTTCTACATAACAATGTCTTTCTCCCCACTCCTTACATCAACCTGGATATTTAATTCTGCTTTCAGAATTGGTTCCCCAGCTAAACACCATATCTCTGCCCCTCCCAAACTATTTACTTTGGCTCTCTTCCAGATTGAGTTCTTCTTCCTGTCCTGGAGGCTTCAATCTTGGGCCACTAAAAAACCTCAGTCCCAGCAGAGGTGGGCCCTGGGGTCTACAGGAACAGAACAGTACATTTCCTTTGCTCATTAGGAAGTTAAATCCATCTCATATGATTTACATTTGTGGTGTTTAAACTATGCTCCATGGAATATTAGAATTCTATAGGCAATCACCAGTGGTTCTAGTGAAAAAACAATTAACAGTGAAACACTCTGATCCCCTTTTGTTTTAGAATATAACCTCATTAAGTCAATATTGGTCTATTCAAAAGTGAATGATTTAAAGAAACTCTTATTTCCCAGCTAACTAAATGTTCCATTATTTTATTAGCAAGCATCTAAATTTGATAAATTGAAAGTATATTTCCCCCATCCTCTGAATTTAAAGTAATTTAGATTTTATTATATTTTATTTTGCTATCAAAATTATAATTGCTGACACAATCTATTAGACTGTAAGTTCCTTGAAGGCAGGGACTATCTTCTGGCTTTTTTTGCATACTCAGTGCTTAGCATAGTTCCTGGCATTTAGTAGGTAATTAATAAATGTTTATTGATTGATTGACATGGTCAAAGCCAGGTCTTTTTTTCTTCTTCAATTTAACATCTGTACCTTAGAATAATTACTGGCTAGTTTTATATCTGTATCTATAGCCATATCTATACACACACATATAGTTTCTAGGGAGACTATTTAGTATTTCATAATTTTTAAAAGCCTGAAAATCTCATTATTATATTACTTCTTCTTTAGACTTTCAATATGTTCAATCTGTTATTTTCTATTCAACAGAGTTGAAAATATGTCAATGAGATTAGAAGAAGTAAATGAAAGAGAAAATTTTATGAAAGCTTCACTACAAACTGTGGACCTTCGGCTCTCTCAACTAGAAGAACTATCAAGTAGAATGGTGAATGCTCTTGAAAAGCTTGCAGGAATTGATAAGTCTGAACTGGTACCAACACGCTCCAGAGCATCTTCAGAATGTGATGTAACTTTTCTCCTAAGACAAAGTAGTGTCAACAGTTCTGATGGCTATAGCATGTATCGATACCACTTCAATGGAGAAGAGTTAGTATATGAGGATGGTGTCATTCCTCTGTCACCTGGGCCTGGATTGCGTAAAAAAACCTGTTCATTTCGTTTGAAGGAAGAGAAGGATGGTCAGGAATCAAGGACGCATCTGGTACCAGAGTGTCAGGGAAGCCTTTGTACGATATCCAACACAAATACATCAACAACACAAGATTGCTGTAAAATCACACTAGACAATGTACAGGATGTTTTGCCAAACTCTGGTCCAAATATTGGTATTTCAACAGAAGAAGATGAAAAGCAGGGAAATTCAAAAAATGATGAAACTGTTTCCCAAGGCTTAAATCAAACAGATGTTATAAATGGACAGGCCAGATCAGATTTTCAGAATACTCAATTAAAAGTAGAAAGGACAAAGTTAGAAGGAGCTATTTCTTACCCATTAGAAAAAACAAAAGTAACACGTTACTACCCCGATGAAACTTTAAAGACATCTATGAAGTCTAGAAGCTTTGTGTTTTCTCATGAAAGAAAGCTAATTGGTGGAGTTAATAACTGGAGTACAGACTATAGTTCAATAATGGACCAAGTATTCCCTACGACAGTTGAACAGTGGACTACGGAATGGAAATATCAAGTTGAAAAGAAAATTTCTCGCTCTCATAGTACAGATTTCTCTTTAACTGTATCTGAAGCTGCAATTCAAGCAGAGCAAAAAGAGCACTTAACAGACACGGAAGATGAAAGTGATGTCAAAGAAGCCGTTCCCAAAGCCTCTCGCTCTTCTCTAGCTGTCATTGGCAGAACTTCAACTACAACAGAAAACTTACTGTCTGTGAAACCAGACCGAACTTGCGGATTCCCTTCCATACGGTCAAAAAGTTTACATGCTCACTCTCGGACTGCCAAGTCCATTCAGGAAAAACTGGACAGACTCGGGCATGCCAGCAGTGTAACTAACCTAGTAGGTGTATCTGGAAATACATCAGAAGCACAGAAAGCTCAACAAGAGAAAGCCTCCACAGAAACTGAGTGTTAAAGCGTTTTTTAAAAAATGACAGGTGCTATCTTGATTAGTTTAGACATTTAGCATAGCTTTCTGAAAAACTTGTTCATAATTTTGGGGGCTAATTTTGCATTTATTTTTAAATAAAATACTAATGCCCCAAGTTTAAAACAATACTCTGTTGAATCAGGGATATAATACTTCAAGAAAACTTACTGAAATGTTTTGTTTTTATATCTCAATCTCTAATATGTTCACTCATCCAGAAAATCATCATTAATAAAAAATAAAAAAGAAAGACAAAAAAGCAGTTCAATAAAATTAGCATTAACTGAATCCAATGATTCAGATGAGCATGTTCCCTCACCCAAGTAACCAACTCCACTTCTGCAAAGAGAGAGAGGTGTG